GAGCCCGAGGACGTACGTATCAGCGCTCACCAATTCCTCTTTACAGCATCGTGAAGCTCACCTTTTTGCACTTTGTGGTTTGTTCTGCTCTGCTTGCCGCGCCTTTAGCCCGCGCCTGCGATCTACGAGGAGTGCGAGAAGTCCAAGGCATGTGCTCCGCTCAAGCACCACTTTGACGAGTGCGCCAAGCGCGTCAACGAAGGCAAGGGCTTCGAGGGCGAAAACTGCATCGAGGAGTTCTGTAAGTTGCCCACCGCCACAACTTGGCTTCACACTGGGCAAAATTTGGCTGACGTTTGCTGTGCTTGCACAAACAGTCCACCTCTCGCACTGTGCGCAAGAGTGCACCGCACCCAAGCTCTTCGCCAAGCTCGTCTAGACGCTTGGATGACAAGCGCAAGCGTTCGAAGCGTCGGATCATTTTCATTCGTGCATTGCGTCCTCAAGCTCGCTCTAGATCTCTTTGCTTTGGACGTCGCTTGCAATTCTGATTCACATCTATACATCCAAGCCCTGCTGAGAGCTGCCAACCGTTAGGTCCTGGCGGGTCCCATGAGCCCACCTTGGCGCAGTTGCAGGATTCTCAAACTGAGCCGTGTGCAGCTTCACTGGCTTCTTTGCTTCATACGGCCTCTGCAGGCGCATCGAGATCATCCATTCCAGCTCGCTGTGTAAGCGCGCTCAGCCTGCCGTGCCTCGCATCGTCATCCCTCTCACCCATCACAAACGCTCAAACAGTTTTTGAAGCCTGATTTTCATACAAAGCCTTGCAAGCCATCAAGAGATACAATGAGAGAATGGAGGTAGGAAGCTGTCTACAGGACTGTGGAAAAACCGCTGCTGCTGCTTGGACCTTAGTTGATGGCATCCTCTCCGTTCCAGTGCACCAGGTCAAGACACCTGTCGATCACCTTGTCCACGCTCCACCTTCCGCCCGGACCGCCGGAGCCGTACTTGAGATGGAGGAGCGAGCCGACCTCGTCGCAGGCGCGCAGCACGTCGTCAATGTCCTTCTTGGTGTGGGCTGCACTGACGCAGAACCTGACGCGCGACGAGATGAGCGGCGTGGCGGGGTACGCCACCACGACCACCACAATCGGCGGACGCGCAGGACGCTCAATGTTGGCCGGATTCGCCGGATCCTCAATCGCCTTGAGCTCGTCGCTCGACATGTCCGACTGCTCGACCGCAAATCGCTGCGACGGAGGCAGCACCGCCGAGCGGTCGAGCATCATGCGCGAGAACAACGACATCTTGGCCGGATGGAAGATGAGAAGCGGCACAATCGGCGAGTCGCGGTGACCGTACACGATGAAGCCGAGCTTGCGAAGTCCACTGCTGAGGTAGCGCGCGTTGAACGCAAGACGACGCAACCTCTCGCGACCCTCGCTGCCATCGAGCAGCGGACGCGGAAGCTGGACCCAGCTAGGCAGCAGCGCCATCTCGTCCGGGTTGCGACCCACACCCATGATCGACGCCATCGACGCCACGATCTGCGTCAAGACGGGCGGCGACAGCGTCTCGCCGTACACGTTGGCGTGGTTGGTGAGCCTGATGCGGTCGATGATCGTCCTGTCGGCCGCAATGTAGCCACCGGCAGCACCAAACGACTTGGTAAACGTGCCCATCAGGATGTCGACCTTGGCCGGGTCGACGCCAAAGTAGTCGCACACGCCGCGACCCTTGGGACCGATGGCTCCGACCGAGTGCGCCTCGTCGACGTACAGGTGGAACTTGTACTTTTCCTTGAGGCGCATCACCTCGGGCAGGTTGACCAGCGTGCCCTCCATCGAGTAGAGGCCCTCGACGATGAGCAGGATCTTCTTCCACGGACGGTGGGTGCGCGGCATGCCCTGGCTGATGCACTCGCGCAGCAGCGACTCGAGCTTCTTCATGTCGTTGTGCTTGTACTGGCGGATGTGGGCGCCACTCAGACGCGCGCCGAAGCGGATGGAGCTGTGGTTGTACTCGTCCGAGATGATGAGCGTTCCGGGTCCGGCGATGGCGGGGATGGTGGTGGAGTTGGTGGCGAAGCCCATGCTGATCACCACGGCGTCCTCCTTGCCCATGAAGCGCGCCACGAGCTTCTCGGTCTGCTGCTGGAGGTCGAGGTGGCCGGAGCCGAGGCGGTTGCCGTAGCTGCTAACGCCGTAGGTGCGCAGGCACTCCTCGACGGCGTCGGCACAGCCGCCGTGCGACTGGGCGAAGCCGAGGTAGTTGTAGGCGCTGATGTTGAGCGCGCGCGTCTTTTCGCCCGTGAGACGGAAGGTGGAGTAGTAGTCGAGGGCGACGCGGTCGAGGCAGACGACGGTCCTGCCGCAGACGCCGGTGACGGGGCGGCTGAAGCAGTCGTCCATGCGCGCCTTGAGGCGGCGGGTGTAGAAGCTGTCGAAATCCGAGTTGAGGGCGGCGTAGCCGTCGCGCTCCATGAGGTGGTGGTAGGACTTGGGGAAGAGGCGCTTGCCGACGTAGTCGCGCATGTGACCGATGAGGATGAGGATGATGTAGGAGATGTAGGTGGTGAGGACGGTAAAGTAGCTGGGCTCCTCCTCGACCGGGTTGGGCAAGGGGTCGCCGCGACGGTGCTCCGAGGTGTAGCGGTAGTCTGGGTTGGCGCAGTAGCCGAATTCCGAGTGGATGAGTTTGGCGCCATCCTGGCTGCTGTCGTAGCTGGTAGGAGGCTGGGCGGTGCCGTTGCCGTAGACGAAGCCGGCGTCGGCGCTGTAGGCGGCGTCGCCCTTGCCTGCGTTGAAACGCGCGTTGAGGCTGCGATGATGCGCGTCCTGGACGGACTCGAGGCTCTCGATGGAGGCGGAGGTGGAGCCAGTGGTGAGACTGGGCGCCTGGGACTCTACGTCGGGCGAGCTGTCTGGGCTGGAGGCAAAGCCAGACCAACCGGCCCGGTTGGCGGTGGTGGAGTCGATCTGAGCGACCATGTCTGTGTTGGCGTGTGCGGGGGGTGAGATGGCGACGATGGGGGCGCCCTTCTTGAGGAAAGAGGACAGGGATGGAGACGATGCGAGGGGCGATTTGGAGGGAGCGTTGGATCGCTTGATGCTCGCGTTGGGGTCACGGAGCGAGTCGGAGTGGTGGGCGTCGAGCAGCTGAGGGGCCGAAGACATGTTCTAGCCGTCTGCAAGAAGCGCTGGATCGGGGTCGAAAGCTATCTGGGGCCTGTCCGAGGCGGGTCCGATTAAGCACAGATAGTAGCAACGTCTGCAAGATTTGGGCCACTCGAGGGTCGGTCCGACTGAACGGGCGAGAGTTCGAGTGCGAGCCAAACGGCGGGACGGATTAGCGCGGTTGACGCCAAGCGGTAAGCTGTGCAGTGAGGCTCGGAGGCGTGCAGAGCGCGTATCGAGAGCGACGAAGGCTGGGTGCGAGCGTCGATCGAGTGCGCTTGACAACCGAGTCAAGGTTGGCTCGAGGGGACGCTGCACCTGCTTGAGCGGGTAGCGCTGATTGCGTCTGGGTGTGCAGTGCGTTGCCGACCGTCGGGTGAGTGTCGAACGGATGCAAGTGCTAGTCGATGTTGAGTAGGAAGTGATCCCAGCTCGAGATGGGTGATGGTGGAGAGCGAGTGCGAGTGCGAGTGCGAGGGCGAGTTTGTTGAAAGCAATGCGGCGTCGGCGGTCCACGGCCTGGCTTTGCGGATGGACGCCGTTTGGAGTGCGTTTTTTGAATTTCCGGCACTTGTTGAACCGCGCTCACCGCTCCGAAGCGGCTCAGCAGAGGCACTCTCCCTCTCTGCCCCAAAAAACTCCTTTTTTTTTTTCTTTCTCGCGAGCGTGCGTGTGCGTGCTGTGCTGTGCTGTGCTGTGTCCTTTGCTGACACGCTCTCCAACCGCCAGCAGCGCATCGCAACAGCGCATCGCCGTTGGCACCGCGGTGTTGGTGTGCGGCGGCTGTCTGTGCTCGCCTAGCCTCGGCGATCTGCAAGGCGCTGCTGCCAAACCCTCTCCGTCTCTCTCTCTCTCTCTCTCTCTCTCTCT